CGTGTTTCACTTGGGATGGCTTTTACCCTTGATGTTCACTCTTGCGTTTTATCGCTCTTGCTTTCCTTTAAAGTTCTTGTGGAACTCCCTCGAGGTTTACAAGGCATCTCGTAGACTTCGGCTGAAACAATTGTGGCTTGGTTGGAGAATAATGTTGGTAAAGAAAGAAATGGCTACAAGAAAGAACGAAGACGATAATAGGTAATGAAATCGTAAAGATAATGAAACAAATGATGAAACAAATACGAAACCTTCTTAATTACTTTTTTTCAAAGATGAAAAAGATTGCTCTCGCCCTCTTAAAAATTTTCTTTTCTTTTATTTTTTTCAAATTTTTTTCTGATTTTTTTTTATTTTTTACCAACTCAGGAGAGAGAAAATGAAATGATACGCTTAGTGAATCAGCTAGCTCTGATACCAAATGATATGATCCAGGTTATGTGTTCTGAGTCATATGCGATGTTGCCTGTTCGTGATTCTAGTAATAACTTCGCAGTGCTTTGATTGAAGACTGAAAATGTACAAACAACGTTATAAGAAGGGAAATATGTATATATAAATATGTGTATGAAAGTAATGGAAATGATAGAGTAAAGTTGAAGTGGGTTGTAAATGAAAGAAGTGTGGTGAAGAGGATTGTAAATGAAACAAGTGTGGTGAAGTGGATTGTAAATGAAAGAAGTGTAGTGGTGATAATGGTTGAATGGATGTAACAAAAATGGTGAAGGATATTTGTGGTTGGCGTGGAGAATGATAGTAATTCAAAGGATGGATTGAGACCCTTTAACTATATATGAGTTAGGAACCAACAATATAATAAAGATGGATTCGAAGTAATAGAGGGTGGAACGTGACCCACTAGCTATAGTAGAGTTAGGAACAAACGCTATAACTAGATGAAATGGATGAAGGCTTCAAGATCGACAAGAAACCGATAGAGCTCTAATATAAGAACTAAAATGAAAGCAATATTTCAAACTATTTTCAAAAATGAAATTGTGTGTCTACAAATGATCCCAAAGGTGCCTATTTATAGTATTTCTAATAAGCATATGAAAAGACTCAAAAGATGATAATATTCTCATCAATTTAGCAATAAAATGCACTTGAATGCTTTGTCTTCTTATGTTCAAAGTTGGATGAATATTCTAGATCATTTTGGGGATGAATCTAGATAATTTGAAGCTGAATATGGCCTTAATTTCGTCCAAGAAGGAGGGGTGACTCTTGGGCTACCTTGCTTTGCTTGCAAATGGAAGAAAAGAGGTTAAATGAAGTCATAGGATGAATGTGGACATCCTCCATGTCCAAATCAGCTTGTCTCTTCAAATTTCTTGCTGATTTTATCACTTAATTTGATGATTAATTGAAATAAAATCAGCCTTCGTTGCTTGTTCCTTGGTAGCATGTGAATAGCCTTCAAAGAATGATAAGTAAGACTTGAATAGGTGAATTATTAAGGATTGAATGCATTGTCTCTTCAAGAATATGAACAGCCTTGAAAAGATGAAAAGAATTAATCCTTGAATTGCTTTGAATAGAAGCATTAAGATAGCCTTCAATTGTTTGTCTCTTGGTAGAAGATGAAAGGACTCTTCCTTGGCTCAAACTCATCCAAATCATCCTTGTATAAAATTCTCGTAATGAAAATTCCAGCCTGCACTGTCTTCAGTAAATCGATCATATCTCAAGCTCCCGATATCGGATTGAGGTGATTCAAAAAACGTTGGAAAGCTAAGAGATAGAGGAATAATTTCCAATTGGTTTCTGAACCCAAAAATGTTTGTATCGCATCCAGAATTAGAATACATTCTGAATGATATTCTTGCATCGGTTAAGATTATTTAGCTTCCCTCTTGCACCTAAACACAAAGATAAACTTTATTCAATCATAACATTTAAATATGTATGGGATGATAAGTGTTAGTTTGATTAATGAAATAACATTATTCAATGAACTAACTTTATTCAATGAACTAAATGCATGAATGAAGTAGTTTATTAAATAACTAGATGCATAAATGAACTACTTCCCTAAATGAAATACATGCTTAAATGCAATGCATGCTTTAATGAACAACATACTTATTAAATGCAATGAATGTCATGCAACTAATAAAACTCATGCAAATTCATGCAATGAATGATATTATATGATAAGCATATCCTAAGAGGTAAATACAAACATATGATGGAATATAGTGCATAAATGAGAAGGTATAGGATGAAGTAAGGTAGAACTCCCTTTGAATCAGCCTTGATGAACTTCAATGATTTAATTAGATCAAGACCAAAGTTAGGGATGATTGGGATCACATCAAAGGGATAGAAAATATCTTCCACTTTTGTCTTTAAATGTGCCCAGAAATGCTATCCAAAATGTTGTGGCAAAACTCCTTCTCCCAATAGTCCTCTCTACTTATTCTGCACATCACTACACCAAACAAACTTTTCTCCAATAGCAGAACTAAAACCATAAATAAACAAAGTGAAGCATGCAAACACCACCATATGCAATGAAATGAACTATATGCAACTATATGTAATTAAATGAGCTTGAGAATGAGCAAAACTTAAGTGAAAAAGGCATAAAATGTGGTATTTTTACAAAGTTAACAACCATGCACTTATTCTGGACTGTTAGAAAATAACAAGATTAAAACCGTTAATAATTATTTATATCAAATAATTTGATAATTATTATGTTCTTATGTAGGAAGTTTGAACCCCAATCCTATCATTAGTATAAAGGCATATACTTGTGTATCTTCTATTTCTTGTTGATCTATCGAAAGTAGTATTGACCTTTTCTTTCATTTACTTAATACGTTTGTAGGGTTTGATATGATTGTAGGGTTTGATATGATTGTAGTTGTTGATCTTATCGAAGAATTGTCATCCCTATTGCTCCCCTACAACAATAAATAAGACTACCTTTACTAAAAAAAATAAGACTAATTAATATATATCACATCATTTCATAAAATACTTTCAACCACTAAAAGTGTAAAAAATTCATCATACCTGATTTGCAGTTATTTTAGGTTGAGTACAAGATCTTTTATTATGATCTTGTCTACCATAATTTCTACAAGTCATAATAAGACCAATCATACTAATGTGTTCAGGTTTTAGTATTTTTAGTTCATCTTTTTCCTTCCTTCGATTTTTTAGCTTTCCAGACATATCTCTAAAGTTGGTGTGACCGAATTTAAAATTGCCATGTGTAATAAAAGTTTTTGAAAACTCCTTAAAAACATAAAAATTAAAAAATTATCAGAAAATGAAAAATTCCTAACATAAAAAATCTAAAAAGTAGAACTTGTATTTTTCCAAAATTGTAATGATGTTTAATTTAAAAAATAAAATTAATGAAATCATTAAAAATGTAAAAGGTATTGTATTAAAAATTATCTAAATATGAGTTTGTAAAAGAATTTTCGGGGTTTTAAGATTTTTAAGAAATTTTGAGCTCATTTTTTGGTAATTCCATGGAAAACTTCTACTCATTGTTTTGTTTTACGCTCTTAGAGGAATCTCCTTTTTCTATGTTTTGTTTCCCTTTTCACGATTGCTGCAATTTCACCATGAATCTGTCTAATGTGAGCTGTTAGGAGTTTGCATCTGTCAACTGTTCGATTGTTTGTTTCAGAGAGGAAAGCATTTTGTTTTAAGAATGACCAATCCCACTGATACTCATACTCAGCAGAATCCTCACACTTCTTCTGCTCCGAATAATGTGTCTTCTCCTGTTGCTTCGGTCTTTAATGCTTTGCCTTCTTGTTCGATTCAACAATTTCTCAAGAACGATACAGTAAAGTTTTCAGAGAGTATGTATATTTCGTGGAAGCATCAAGTGCCATTAATCATTGATGGCTTTGGTTTGACGCAATTTCTTTCTGAATCAAGCTCTATCCCCACAGTTTGTTGAAAATGAATCAGACCTTGTTTCAGAGAACCCAACTTTTCTAGTGTATAATCAACAAGACAAATTATGGCTTTTCGGTTGTTATCTACAGATATTGCTAATGTTCTTCCTCATATAACAGGGTTTAGAACTACTCGTGCTACCTGGAGTGCAACATCGCTTATTTGGTGTTCGATTTAGGGCCAAAATTTCATCCGTGTGACATAGTCTTTGATGGAACTGTCGGTACAACTCACAGTATAGAGAAAAAATTAACCTACAATCTCCTCCAGCTATATAAATATGATTTTAATTAATTTATTAATTTAAAATGTATGTCAAATTTGATGATAAATAATCAAATCAACTTATATATTAATAAAACAATAATAATTTAAAATATTGTATGAGTGTGAAATTATATTAAATATTTTTAAATATTATTTAATATGTTAATTAAATTAATAAAGTATTAGATGTAAATTTTAGATAGAATCTAATAAAAAATTCTATAAAGTTTTATATTAATATTTTTTGATTTAATATTGAAGATTAACCTCATTAAAAAAATTATTACAAGAATAATTTAAAAATAATTTTAAGTAATATTATGGGCAAGCTCATTTGGTCAGTTGATCAAACTGTTCATCTTTGTTCCCTTATATTTTCTTATATAGGTTCAAGATCCATCAATAGCACTCTTATTTCTCCTTGAGTCCTTTAAGTAGGATTAGATTTAAAAAATTCAAAAAAGTAATATTATATTAGATTAGTCAAACGCAATAATCTTACATTATAATCATATGAATAAAAAATAAAGTAATATTTAAAGTAAAAATAAATTTTATTCTCCCTAAAGAATTCTTATTCGAGCAACTGTGTCTGTAAGGTGTGTTTAAATTGATAATAGATTAAGAAAATTTTGAATAAATACTACTCCTCTTAAATATATGAGTTAAACTTTTCGAAACTATCAACAATCTCTAAAGTATGTTTAATATTATATTATTTTATAAATAAGAAAACGAGTTACAAGGTTGGTACATACATGAATGTAAGCAATAAGAAATCAGAGAAATCAAACTGATCATCATCAATAATGAAATACAAAAACATTATACTCCACAATGGCATGGACAAGGGTGATCGAGTGAGTCCTAGCCTGAGCATAGCCCCTAGCAAATCGGAAGCTGCCGGTCCCACCAACGATCGGCATCTCTCGTAGGGTGTTAAGAACCTCGTTGCGAGCTAAAACGCTGAGAGTGCTGCCATTGTATTTGCCTTCCGTGAAAGCAAAATTGAGCACCATTAACAAGCTCATTTCGGTTTGCGATGAGTATGCATACATTCCCTGTGCTTTTCCCACCGTTTTGGAGTTGATGTCGGGGTTGATCGTCAAAGGGTCATCGATCATATAAATGTCGCCGAACAACGGTAAGGAACTGTTATTAGAGGATGTGCCGGCAACGTGAATTGCGGTCGCGTTTTTTCCGGAGACTATGTCATGGAAGTAAAAGTGAAGGTGGGATAACTTTTCTCGTTTGAGCCCTAGTGATGATGGAGATATGTCTTTGCCGAATACATCGGAGTTCGATCGATGATCGGAAACGGCAAGTGTTGAGAATAAGGTGATGATGGTGAGGTAGAAGATGAAGCATTGGGTTTTCAACATTGAGGCTGCCATTGTTGGTTTGGAGAATTCGCAGGCTCAAGAGTTGAAATTGGAAGAGATTGTTCCTGAGTCGTCACCCTTTTCTTTCCTATTATAATTAGGCTTAAAGTAAAAATAAGGGCGTGTTTGTTACATGTAAATGATTTTATAGAAAACATTTTCAATATTTTTAGGTGTTTGGTTCGAATAATACAAAAAAAATTAATGTAAAACAATTTATAGGTTAACAGAAAAACCACTTCATTCCCCGTAAAACGATTTACCATTTTTTTAAGTCTCTAAATTGTTTTTTTCCAAATCAAGTCTTTAAATTATTATATATAATCATTTTTAGTCCTGCTATTTTTTCAGTTAAAAAATATCTTTCGACTAGTGAGATGTTGACATGTCACACAAAATTAAATATTTGTTTTGATAAGAAAAAAAAATTAGAGACTTAAAACAAAAACTGAGCATAGTTTAGGAATTTATTTTAACAAAAAAAATTAGTTTAAGTACTTTGGTTACGTATAATAATTGAAGGACTTATTTTAACTAAAAAGTAATTTAGGGACTTATTTTCAGTTTAAACCATAAAATTATTGATGCATAAATTTCTTTAATAATTACATTTCTCTTTCGATAACTAAAAAGAAAAACAAACGAGGGAAGAAATCTAAGTTAACAGATCTCCACGAAATCTTCCTTCTTTTATATTTATTTTCTTTTAAATGATTTCTATTTTTATCATTTGTATTTGAGAATTAAATTTGGTTTAAATTAGCAACAGAGTATAAAATAGATTTAATACCTCCTTTGTTAATTGTATTATAGTTAAATTATTAGATTGGTACTTGTATAATTTTGGCATAATGTTAGAATTAGCCCTCAACGTTCACTAAAGTGGTCATTTTTCTCCTATTTTATTTTTTTGGAGATTTTGGTATCTAATGTTCCATTTTAGGGCAAAAGGCCCGCTGACATGTGACAAAATAATCACTTTGTCTCATATTTTTTTTCCTAGGGCATTTTAGTCCTTAACGTTTCATTTTAGGTTTGGAAAGACTCATATTTTAGAGCGTTAATAATGTGTTAATTAATGATTTTCATCTATAGAGGGAGCTTTTTGCCCAAAGTGAAACGTTGGGGGCTAAAATGCTAAAAAAAATAGGGGCCAAAATGAATATTTTGGTAAACGTTAGGGTTATTTTTGGCATTATGCCTCTAATTTTCTTTATCTGTTTAGCCTTTTATTATCATTTTCTTATCTATCTTACCAAACTTATCTTGATATTTACTATTTTATATTCAATGTTCTATGTGAGCCCAAAATACATCAATTAGATTTTCCTATAAAAAAATTGTTAAAACATCAAATCATAATGATACTAAGTCATCCGAACACACAAATTGCACTCACCGTACACTCTGATTTATCATACCAATCTTGAAAGCTTGATTCTCTCTTCTGGTTAGGAGCTTTCTCAATTGATTTCATGTTAAGCACAAAATCAAACATAGAATTCATGAATTAAACATTGAAAACACATTATATCAAATTAACTAATTAACATGGAAATCTAATTTTTCAAATGATTAGATTTTGATGTTCCAAAGTCCTGCAAATTCTGGAACCCCAATTACTTCTATTACACTTTAAGGTCTCAATTATACAAATCTTGAAAGTTAGGGTTTATAGACCAAGAACATGTGTGTTTAAAATTTAATAAAATTAGTATAAAAATAACTAAGATCGTGAGCTTATCGAATATGTAGTTAAAATTAAATTTTAATGACTAAATTATAAAAACATTATCTGAGAAGGCTTTAAATGCTTGAAGGAGTTTTGTAAACAGTAGAGAATATAATGGAGAAAGATAAAGCAAATACTTTCTCTCTCCCAAGTGATGTTGGCGTGAGAAACTACACTAAAATCCCTAAAATATCCATTTCCTTAAGAAAAATAGTTAGAAATTTTCATATAATGCCACATAGCTCATGAATCATCCAACAAAGAATTCTGAGAAAATTAAGACATTGGTCCTTTAACAAATACATGCACATGAATAAGCCTTCCAACTTTATTTGCATCCAAAGATGCTAATTTTCCATTTCTTTCATGTTGGTCCTTATTCATAGAATTTCAAGATTAACTTAATTTGTCACACCCCGAATATAATTAAAACTTATTTAAATTATTTGATTTAATTAAGGGGCCAAAATGAATAATTTTGAAGATTTCTAGGTCAAATTTAAATGTGTAGAAAGTTTAGGGACTAGCCCCATAATTTACCCATACTCATCTAAAAGCAAAAAAAAAAGTAGATAAGGAGCTGGCCAGGCTTGAACCTGTAACCTAGGGTATGGTTGGCCATTCCCCTACCAACCAGCCTAAGTCACTATTTTTGACTAAAAATAATAGATATATATTTTGTACTATATTGGTTTGGGGTTATAACCCAAAACCAAAAGCAGAAACCCCTCGGTGAATCCTAAACCCCAAAACCAAGCTTTATCAACCATTTTCACCGCCTTCCTCATCGATTTTCCCTCCTTTGGTCGGCGGTGCACGTCACTGCTCGTCCTAGTGAAGACGTCGTCGTCGTCCGACTGAAACCCCTCAGCCAATTCGTAGAAATGAGTTATCGTTTGTCGTGGAGACGTCGAAGAAGTTCGGTCGAAAACCCCCACCTCGCCACTCAGTTTTTCGAAGATTCCGGGCACTTCGCTCATCCATCCGCCTCACCGCCCTGAGCACTGGAATCCCCAGCTCTGTACGACCAAAACCCGACCGGGTTTGTCGACCGAAAATCGTCTCGTCATCTTGGGTAAGCTCTGATTATATTTCAGATATTTTTGTCATGGTTTTGGCAAATATTTGGCTTTATCTTGATTGTAATTGGTTAATTGAATTTGTTGGAGTAATCGACAGCCGTCCCCTGACCCATCGCCACGCGTCACCACGCACCGTTATGTGCGCGTCGGGCTCGTATAAAGCTATGGTTCCTTCTAGAATAGGTCCAAGAGGTCCAAACCGGCCCGAACCAATCTGAACCGAGTCTATTTGACCCGAACTGAGTCAAACCAACCCGACCGTTGAGTTTGACCAGAGTTGACCATTGATATTGACAAAAAAGTCAAAATTTTTGAAAAGTCATATTTTATGTTTTTCAATGTATTGAGTCCGGATCCAAAGTTCATTTTGCTAAATTAGAACCCGAAAACTTCCGAATTGATCGTTAAACCGGAATATGCATATGTAAATTAAATATTTATTTCAGTGCATCAATTTTTATTGAAGGGTCAGGAACTAATTAATGTTATCGAATATTTAAGGTACTCGTGGATCTCCTGACTGTTCGCCTACTCGACCTGGTTCCTCCCGATCCGCTCATCCACAAGAGCCCGTGAATACTCGTATAGTTATGTGGCCTTGTTGTATATTCAATTTATATTATTACTCTGATTATTACCCTGTTATATAATAACTTAGGTTCTCGTTCAGTCGAAGATCTCCCGGATTAATACTTTTTATTAGGTACGTTCCTTGTGTGCCATATGCATGTTTTAAATACTATTTGAAATATCATGTACACATGATTGTTTTATCTGATTTGCAACGTGCCTATCTGTTTGACTTGATTCCGTATGATTTATCCGATTTAAAGTCTGATTTCTGATTTACTAAAGTAAGTTTGATTGTTTGATTCATGTTCTCTAGTTACTATTTTTACCGATAAATATGTCTGAATTCTGATTTCCTGCTACCACTGATTAATGTCTGAAAAATATTTTTCTCCAGGGTACTCTGGGATTTAGTATGAAGTCTCTACAGGTTCTGTTCGGTCAAATTGGTAATTCCTTATATAGGTTGTTGAGTCAATCAAAAGGATGAAATATCCAAGAGGGGGTGAATTGGCAATTAAAATTTTGGTGGAAGCTTAAGAGGAAAAATTAAACAAATGAGCACAAGAATTTAGAGTGGTTCGACTTTATCAACCAAAGTCTACTTCCACTACCTTAGCTATCCACACTAAGGATTTTCACAAATTCACTAATTTATATCTACCTTTGAGGATAAGGTGTAACTTTACAACACCCTCAAGAAGTATACCCCAAATTCTTGAGACACTCACTCAAAGAGAAAAATTACAAATTGTAAACTTATAAAAAACCTCACAAGGAATGTGTTTGCACAATTCAAGAACTAATAAGAACACTTGAGAAATGAATACAAATAAGTAGAAGAAGTGTTCTTTGAAAGAAAAAAGAATATTGAAGAATGTTAACTTGATTTAGCGCAAACTTGATGTTTTTGACTCTCTTTTTGTCTATTATCTTCACAAATGGTTTGGGATCTTGTTTATATACTTCCTCAATCAATTCCAACCGTTTGAGTTGTTGTGGGAGTGAATAGAGCCGTTGGGGGTAGTTTCCCGCATTAAATGCTGCTCAGAAGCTTGTAGTATCGGTACTATATCTATCAGTATCGATACTCTCTGCATTAAATACAAAAATTTGACTGTTGGGAAACATCGATATCGATACTGTCACAAGGGTATCGATACAACTATATTAAGTAGTATCGATATTGTACATAGAATTGGTACCATTTCAGTATACTGGAATTTCACGGACTCAAAACCAAAGGAGTAGTATCAGTACCATAACTAAGAGTATCAGTACTACTACACTAAGTAGTATCGATACTGTATATGGTATCGATACCATTTTAACATTCTGTTTTGACAGTATTAGTATTGACTCAGTAGTATCGGTACTACTTCATTGTTTTAGGTTTCAGTATTGATATTTGTATCAATACTTATTGAACAGTATCGGTACTGTTATAGTAGTATCGATACTACTATGCTTAAAAATCATTTTTGACTTGATTAAAGTTCGAAACCCTTAGTAAAAAATATTTCAAAAATATTTCCAGTATAGGACTCAAATTTTCAGTAGAGTGAGGAGTAAAATTTGGCATTTTAACTTTAAAGAATAATTATATATATTCGAATGATTGAATTAAATATATTCTTAAAATT